ATGTTAACTACCGAATTCTCACTTTTTTTTAAGGGTTAATCTGTCAATCAATCTCAGTAAAGGAATATGCAGAATTGGGGGTAAGTTAATGAGTTTTGTTTAAAATTGTAAAATAGAACAAAGTGTTAGATCTTTGGGATCAAGTAAAAGATATATCCTGTAGGGATCAGCCTGGAAGGGTAGCGTATTTATTTACATTAGAAGTCTGTATTACGGTACTATTACCATAAAAACGGGCTACAACATTCATTATATAAATATATCAGATAATGCATTTCACGGTCAGGCCTACTAACCTTTCCGAGAAGATAAGTGTCACAGTGTTCATTCTGAAATCCGATAATTTTTTACCTTGTGTACAAGTCATATATTACCTGTTAATAACTGGCTTAAAATAATTTGTCACGAAATAAAATATACTGTATACTTTTGATTTTCAGAAGAAAATATCTCTCATGTGTATTTGCTTGTGGAAAATTGACTTATATTCTTACAGTACGATCTAAAAACGTTTTTCATGTTTTAGTTGATGAAAAGCCTAAAAAAAAAAAAATGTAGATATGTTTGAAGAATCGAAAAATGTTAAGTTTGGTGTCATTTTCAACCGTGAACATTTTTCTTTTTAAAGAATTTTATTTTGCAACTGGGTAATTTTTTTTTATTCTACGGAAGATTAAAAATGAAAGTGAGAAATAAAATTCTGAATGATGTCTTTAATTGGCTCCGAAGTTTGTGCTGTTTACAGTAATCTTTTTTTGCTTTTCTACATTTCCATAGGGTTTTTGGTGCTATTTTACTGTTTATTTCCTTGAAGACTTCAAAGGATAAAAGTAAATAGTTCTTTTCTTTTTTCATTTAAACGATGTTTTGTCATAATTTTTAAAAAATATCCTATATTTTTGCTACATAATACCAAACATTAATGTAATTAACATGAAAGAATAAAATGTAGTCGTGAGTATTTCTAAAATTTACATTTAATGAAATAATCTTTATTTTATTTTATAGTTTTAGTCTTTCATATTTGATTTGATTTATAGCGCAACTTTTTAAAAAAATAGGTGTAGGGTCGTTTGAGAACTACCGCCCTTCAAACGTGTTGACCATACCCTGTAATATATTTTTTTCGTCATATTTTTACAAAATTATGTTCAGTAACCCTTAAAATTACTATTTATCTTCGAAACAAATGTCGGGGACTGATATTTGATTTTAAAGAGATTTTTAAATAGTTTTAATTTGTCTTTTTCTGGACTACAATTAAATTCACTGATCGAACCGGGTGGTAGTTTTTTTTTTTTTTACTTTTTTTACTTCGTGGTTTTAAAGTTTTCAAAATCAGTTTCTTAAATACATAAAATTTTATTTCTTTTCTTTTTTTACAGATGAATCTTTGGCTTTTATCTTTCAAAAAAGAAAAAATAACTTCAAAGAACGCATTTAAATTATTTAACCTACGTTTTCAAGTTTTCTTTTTTCTTTTTTTCGTGTCGGGACTAACTTTCCATCATTTTGGTTTATTGACGATTACACATATCTTAATACGGAAATCAAAATTGGCCAAGAATGACAATTAGATTGTGTTATGGGAGTTTTCCAAGTAAGCATGATCTGTCGGCCTTGAAAATTGCCATTATAATGAGGAAACATTAACACACATAATGAAGAAAGAAAGCTTGGAGAATTTGACACTCAAAAGGACATATTGAAGGCAATAGGAACACAAGGAAACGGGGAGAAACCTACTTAATAAGTTTGTGTAAATGGATGACAAAACAGGATGTAGGAGCGATAGAGAAAAGATAATTCTTGTTAAGAATTACAAGTAATGGGAGATTGTGGAGGGCTGTGATCGCCGACGTACTGAAGATATGAAACATATTCACGATCACGTTGATTTAATGCAGAAAGTAGAATAGCACCCTCTAAGTAACATTCGAAATCTTTAAGATGAAGTTTTTGCGTTTAGTATGCGATGTTCGAATTCATTAATGTTAATGGTAGTAATAGCCGTTTCCTTATAAGGAAACACTCGGCATTCATTGCTCAACCGGCTGCTACTATCATCAGTTGAAATTTATAAAGTCTTCGTCTGAAAATAATTTTTCAGGAAAACAGGTTTCTCAAGTCCACTTGCTGTTATCGCTCTTTCTAGTATTGACGTGTGTTTTATTTCTAACCTTTATTTGAATTGGTCTGCGAGATTAACTTGTTAATCTTTACACTATAGCGAAGCACGCAAAGAATAGATTTTTTTACGGTATAAGACCACAAGTTTAGGGAACTGAATGAGAAAAAGACTTTTGTTACACTGTAGTAAAGAGGAAAAATAATCAAGTGATAATGTTATCTTTTATTTTCCTAGACGACCATACATTGATATTTCAAGAATAGTAAATCTTTGAAAATAAAAATCTGCAAACAATAGCATTTCAATGCAAAAATTAATTTAATTAAAACTAAGAATAATTATTATTAGCTTTTTAATTTTCTTTCTTCGCTTTAGTTTATTGTTTGTCAATAATAATAATAATAATAATAATAATAATGCGTCCTTAAAGAGAACCTCTTTAGTATTAAATATATTTAATTAAGAAAAGGCATATAAGGCCAGATTAATATTTTTTAATATAAATACCTTGGTATTAAAAATTGGATGACCTCAGTTAATGATTGTCTTGAAATAATTTGAACCAATGAAATAACAGTATTTGTTCGTGAAAAATTGACTTGTATTTTTACAGTACGATTTTAAAACTGTTTTCAGTTCTTCGTTGTTGATGAAAAACTTGATACAAAATGCAGATGTGTTTGAAAAATCGAAAAAATGTAAAGTTTGACGCCATTTTCGACCGTGTACATTTTTAAAAATAATTTTATTTATTTATTTTTTCACTTTGCAACTGCTTGTTTTTTTTTTTTATTCTACGGAAGATTAAAAATGAATATAAAAAATAAAATTCTTCCGTTTGATTGTATTTGACAAACAGATTTACATACACATATACATATTCTTGCAACTGAATATTCAGATGTCACGCCATTATGAGTTAATTTTGATAGTCCAGAACTAAAAATGCTCAAATGAGTTCCTTCAAGCTGTCAATACAACGAGTGAGCAGTCACCGCTGGCTCAGATCTCAAACCGGACAAATGAGATAATTTTGATAGTCCGTAACTCAAGCATTACAAGTGAGACTCTCTGTCCAGAAAATGAATCATACAGGAGAGTTCCCTCTGTGCGTCTTTTGTCTGTCAAAAGTGTAACCATTATGCAAGCCGTTTACTAGCTTGATGTGATTTAAAAGGGTCGCGTCAATAGTAGTCTTCTTGCTTTAAAATATTTACTTTATTTATTTCCATTACAGTAAAATTTCGTTGAAGTGACGTTGACGTAAAAATTGTCACAAAAGTGATTTAAGCTCGGCTTTGTAGCGAATATATACACCTGAATGAACCTGTTTCTTTTTCCTTGCCACCATTATATGCGTTTAGAAGCGGAAATGATGGGGCATTTGCATTTTGGTGTGTATATAGATGCTTCTGTAGGTGTGTGTGTGTGTGTGTGTGTGTTCTCGATAAATAACAGGGAAAGAGGAAAGAAAACTTGTGTTTATACCAAAGAGATACAGACAGAAAAGAAAGAAATGAAATAACAGATAAGAGAGAGAGAGAGAGAGAGAGAGAGAGAGAGAGAGAGAGAGAAATATGAGAGAGATGTTAAGAAAAGCAAGTTAAATATGTGTATATTAAACAGATATATATATATATATATATATATATATATATATATATATATATATATATATATAGGGGGAGAGATAGATAGAGATAGATAGTGTGCATAATAGCAATAGTATGTAAAGCAATGTGTGCAATATATATATATATATATTTCCTTCGTTTCCTTTAATTTATATTGCTTAATAGGAGGGATTGTTTTTTTTTACGGTTTATCAACCTTTTGCAACCTTTTGTGGCTTATTTAAAGTAGAAACTTATTTAGAATTGCAAGAATAATTCTTTTTTTTTTCGAGTAAATATTGCACGAACAAGTTTTTTTCGAATAATTATTTTTTTTTTATAGAATCCTACTATTTCACAAGTAAGTAAATGTAACGAACTCAACCTGAATTCGAACTCGGCTCTTCGATTTCTCATTAAGATCCGCTGATAGAAGGGAACAACTTCTATTGATTCATAACGACTTTCGTTATATTTCTTTTCATTTTTATTCCAATCATTCATTAGCTTTTTCTTCTTTTAATACAATTCCTGGCGAAATTCACTGCATTTGAAGTGTATTCACTCCACATTCTTATTTTTTTCAACTAAGCAAATAATAATCATGTTACAAAACTTCTTCTTCTTCTTCTTCTTCTTCTTCTTCTTCTTCTTCTATGTGCCTTGTCATTTCAGAACGTGGGCGATCATGACCCTTCATCCCAACTTCCTTTCCCTTGTAACTCTTAGCAATGTTCCTCTCTACCAATCTCTGTTCTGCCAACAATTTACACAACCTTGTTAGATAGGTTATTCGCTGCTTTCGGTGGCACCATTTGTTTTAGACATGTCCTGTAAGTCTTAAATTTTCTAAGCCCTCTTTCCTCATTATGTGCCCTAGAAATTTCAACTCTTTCTGATTTTAAGTATAAGTGTCTTTTTTGTTTCTATTTTCCATAAAACTTCGTCGTTGTTCCCATGGTAGCCTCAGCATCATTCTGATTGGTTGGTTGTTTTCGTTTAGTAACATATCAAACTTTATGGGTCATCTAATGCCGAAATATAAATATTTTGTCCGCAATATTTTTTTTAGATAATAATGTTTTTTTCACTGATACAATTTTTACTATTTAAGCCATAGCTGGGGGAAGGAGGTGGATTTATACCATCCCCAAGATTATTTGCGCTTAAAGTGAATATAACGAACCTAGCGGGGATTGAAACTCGGTTCTTCGATTAACAATTCCGTGTCATTATCCATTACACCATTGCACAAGCTTACAGCACCTGGTATTCACAAGCGATTACCCATCTAAGTACTGACCAGCTTCTACGTTACTTAACTTCGGTGATCGTACGAGAACCGGTGTTTTAATGTGATGTGGCAATAAGCCCATCCTTTTGTTGCCTCAAGTCTCTTCTTCATCTTTGATGAGGCTGCCCCGCATTCACTGCCATATAGAAGGAACGACAATATTTTGCTTAAATTTTGGAAGACATCTTTCGCTATGACAATGCAACTTCGGATTTCAGTGTCACATTTCCGCCTTCTTTTAAAACACTTCCTCGATATTTAATTTTTTTGTACTTGTTTGATTTTGATGTCTTTGTTTCGTCGTTCGCATCTTGGGCAGTTCCACGTTTGTTTTAATAGCTAAACATTCTGCCTTCATGTTGCGAATTCCATTAGTTTTTCTCAAATTTGAATGCTCCAGACTTTTCCTGAGAGAACATGCCAGTAATTTAGATAATTTAATCTAATTTATTCACAGTATATTTTATGAAGCCACAAGGTTCACCTGTTAAACAAACAGACATTGTTTAGTGTCATAGCTTTTGTTTATTTTGGTGCAAAGTCAAAAAGCTACGGGAACAACTTAATTGTGGCGATTCCATAACTTTAGCTAGGATAGCATTTCCTTCTTTCTTTCTTTCTTTCTTTCTTTCTTTGCACTCACCTGCTATCTTCCTTTATTTCCCACGTTTTTTTACTATAAACTTCTTTCTTCCTTTTTTTACTTAAAGCAAAATTATTTTTTCTATCTATCTATCTATCTATCTATCTATCTATCTATCTTCAAATAAAATTGCACTTTGTTTGTTTGTTTCTTTCTTTCCCTGATATGATATTTTTTGTTAACCCGCCCGCTATCTTACTTTATTTCCCACGTTTATTCCTATAAACTTTTCTTTCTTTCTTTCTTTCTTTCTTTCTTTCTTTCTTTCTTTTTCTTTCTTTCTTTCTTTTTTCTTGAAGCAAGATTATCTGTATCTGATCTCAATTCATCTATCTATCTATCTATCTATCTATCTATCTATCTATCTATCTATCTATCTATCTATCTTCAAAGAAAATTGCTCTTTGTTTGTTTTTTTCCTGACATGATATCCTGCTGTCTTACTCCATTCCCCACTTTTTTTTCTAAACTTTTCTTTCTTTCTTTCTTTCTTTCTTTCTTTCTTTCTTTCTTTCTTTCTTTCTTTCTTTAAATAATATTGCTCTTTGTTTGTTTGTTTCTTTCTTTCTTTCAAGCTTCATCCCGATGCTGCATCCCGATTTGCTATTTCCGCTATCTTCATGTCTGATGAACCAAACTCTAGTGCAGTAAGCAAGAGACCACGAAATTTGTGCCTTGTGCCAAACTTAGCTTAGCTTAGTAAATAACAGTAAGACGTTACGGACTTTTAGAATGGCGCAAATATTGCCTCTTTCTGTTGGTTTTATTCTTCTTTCATTTTTTCTTTCTTTCTTTCAATCTTAAATCATTCGATCTTCAAACAAAATTGCTATTTTCTTTCTTATGGAATTTTTTTATTTCTTTTTCTTTTGCGCGTTTTTCTTTACTGTATCTCTGAATTATTTTTTTTTTATTTTCATTTTGTCATTTTTCCTTCCTTTTCGTATATTTCTTTGTATCTTAAATTTTTGTCTTCATTCCACTGACCTTCGTTTATTTTTTGTAAAGCTGATAAAATCTTCTTAAAATTCCCTTAGATTTATCCATTTTAACCGCACTCCTTTATTTCACCTAAACGGATGACCAAATTGAAATCCCATCTTCGAGGCTCGAACGAGTCGGCACTGGACATCCAGGTGCGCCCACTTCTGCATGGACGGCTATTTGACACGAGCGGATTAAATTACTAAAATCCGAGCAATATTAACAAAACAAATAAACAAACAAGCAATTAAAAGCGTGAAATGTGACGGGAATTCGATAGATTGCCAATGAAATCTTTGCCTTTTTTGTCAACTACAGAAAAGATACATTTTAACGGGGATTAATTTACTGCTTTCTCCGCAAATTGGACAAAAGAATTTTCGTGAAAACAGGTGTGATCAGTGACCTAAGTATTAGCGAAAATAAGTATCTATCTATCTATCTATCTATCTATCTATCTATCTATCTATCTATCTATCCTGATACTTTGATCAGCGACTGTGTTATATAGGATTAAAGAAGGACATTAGCGTACAAATGATCAAACAGCATTTAAAAGAAGTTGAATAAAAACCTATTTGTTTCTGTCTGCAAATACATATATATATATATATATATATATATATATATATATATATATATATATATATATATATATATATATATATATATATATATATATATATATATATATATATATATATATATATATGGAACCTGGGGTCACGAATTTAATTCGTTCCTGAAGGCCGTTCGTAACTCGAAATGTTCGTTAACCGAAACTATTTTTTCCAATAGGAATCAATGAAGGAAAAAAGTCACAGTACTATAAAATTGGGAAAGAAAAGCACAGCACAGCACACGAATGTATTCAACACGGCGGTCGACTTAGAAATTATTCCGTTCGTGTTAACTAGATTCGGCTATGTTGTTCGAGAACCGAAATTTTGTTCGATAACCGAGGCATTTTGATCTCGAATTTTCTGTTCGAAAACCAATTTGTTCGACATGTTAGGCTATCGAGAACCTAGTTTCCTCTGTATATATATATATATATATATATATATATATATATATATATATATATATATATATATATATATATATATATAATTGTCTTTAATGCATGTCATAAGGCATACCATGTAATTAGAATATATCCTTTCCTTGGAGATGCCATGTACCTTTAGGGTATAAGTGACCATAGATCTCCACAGATTCCTTTTCTTTATAATCTGCGACTTAACATGACTTCGTGACAAAGACAGTGAGAACAGTATCTATCTATTTATCTATTTTTCTATATATCTATCAACAAACATAAATGATGTCTACTAGATTACACACACACACACACACACACACACCCGCGCGCACACACACACACATACACACATTTACGAATATACCCGATTCCCATAAAGACAAACTAGAATTATGATACATTTACATACATAAATCTCGTCTTTTGGGCACTTCGATGTGTCGTAATTGTTAGCAAACTTGTCTTGCTCGATCAATTATGGCTGAAAAATGAGTTCGATCCTCACCAGGTGCTGCATGCATTCGCTCTTGTGTCACGTCTAAGCGACATTTAGAAAATCACCACAAAGCGCGTCCTGGGTTAGACGATAAACTACATCCGACAGCAAGGCCTTTGGTCGGGCGACTGAAGGTTTTGAGGGGCGTGGAACCACCTCTGAACTGCTGTTGTTGCCAGGTTCGCCCTGATCAGGGGAGGTAGTACTTTTTAGGGTCCCAGCTATGGGAAAATAGTGAACCCCAAACAAAAATCAAGTATATTTTTTATAATAAAATGAGCAACAATACATTTTTATAGCAAAATGACAATCAATGCAACACTAAAACAAAATATAAAGATACGGTTTTAAAGTAAATTACCAACAATACATTTTATGATCTACAAGCATAGGTTTACCCTGAAAACTATGTAGAAAATATTTAGATTTCAGCATTAAATAACCCATAGAGGTGTTGATATGTCACTAAACAAAGTCAACCAACTAACCAATATATATAAAGCAATATTTATGTTTATGAGCTACTCATGGAACCCGTTATATTTTTTTTAGGTTCGAAAGGATGCATCATTTCTGCTTGAGTTGAGAACGTAATAAATAATACTAACGCTGCTTATAAACTCAAATGCACGTGAAGCTTGCTTAATCAATGAAAATCAAACAATACAATAATAAAAATGCCATAATCTCAGCTCGTTCATGTTTGTCTATCTATCTATCTATCTATCTATCAGGTACCTGATATTTTGATCAGTGATCTGTCTTATGCAGGGTTAAAGTAGACGATTAAAGTACAAATGATCGCAAACATTTTTTGAAAGAAGTTGAATAAAATCTATTTGTTTATTGCCTGATTTCTCTGTTGTTTTTTTTTTAAAAATTAATCCAGACTAAATGCCACCAAAGACGAGAGAATTTAGTCAAAGGAATTTGAACTCGGTTCGCCGTTTCCATTTACCTCGCCGGTAACCGTTGCTTTACCTGTGGACATAGTTAACGCGCGTGTGCGCACGCACGCACGCACGCACGCACACACACACACACGAGTCAAATTTTTTAACGAGAGAAGAACTTGCGTTATTTTACGCAGTATACACCAAAAATTTAATCTTCTCATTTTTCTTTCAGATGTATCGAGGGCATTAACATGACATCCTCCAAGCTAGCACTGGAAATGAAAAGGAACGCCATGCAGCGATTCGGGGAGAGATAGATATAGCAAGATATCGTAACCCAGGTAAGGTTACTGAATAGAATAATCACACGACGGTTGTTAATGAACGATAATACTTAGGACACGAACAACACATATAAGATTCACCAGCGGAGCGTAGAAGAAGTAGTCTACTGTTAGAAGTGAGTCAAATGAATTCCACAATGAATCTCCAACTGCAGGATATCTACCAACCGCCCCACCCGGTTAGATGTAGCACAAAGCCGAATTTAATGTGGGGTAACCAAGCCAGTGGTCTCGGCCAAAAAATCTCCGTAGATCCCGTATAAAACGGGGTCGGGTAGCTGCTTCCAGAGGCGAGACTTTGCCCTTCGACATAGCGTCGTCTGGGGATTCTCTCTGCTCGAAGGCAGAGAGTTTGACTGGCACAGCTGGAGACGAATCTTCAATTGCAGACCAACATACAGTATTTACTACTATATTTATGTGAATGGGGACACACCCATTATCGTTCGTAGGTATTCTACAACACAAGCTTTCTGGAAGTGACCCAGTGATGTGGAAGAACATGTGGGGTTGCGCGACGTCCAAGGAGGTAGACACGATAATGCCCACCAACTTCATGTCGTCTGTGATGTTCTTGGGGGTTGAGAGCTACGAGTGTCATGTCATACCATTTCACTTTTTCCTGCAACGCCCCAGCATCAATCTCATCATCTA